CGGCCCTAAGAGAAGGGAATTCATAGTTGGATTTTTTTTGGGATGATTCTAAAATAGGTGATTTAGTCCGTTATTCACTCTTGTGAGAAATAAAAGTATTCTAAATTTGAGAGAGTTCAGTTCTGACTTTGAGCTTGTGCCCCATGCTCTTTAGTAGAGTCCAATTTTGCTACGGATTGCAAAAAGAGGCATGGAACATTCTCTCGTGGAAGGGGACAGAAGCCTTCAGAGGCATCACCCTCTCTCTCTCTATAGAGGCATCACCCTCTCTCTCTCATTCATTAATCTCTCTTTCTTTTAGAAAATATCAATCTCAACCTTTTGTTCTTAATATATTCCAAACTTTACATCTTTAGAGAAAATGTCAACTAGACCAAAGAAAGTTTTAGAGCCTGATGACCATCAAAATTGAGCTCCTCTTTAGTCTTCTTCCATGTTGCACTCTCTTAGTCTCCAATTTCATCATAATTAATATAAATCACCATAGAAATCGCAAACTCCGCATTGCAATATTTAATAATACTACACGAATCTCCTTCAATGATGAAGTCTCAGTGGATTGTAGACGAGGTGCTTGTAAAAGTGCCATTCCTTTTGCTTCATTTGTTGTGGAAGTACCACTTGCTTCACAAACGAATTTACAAACTTGTAAAATAATTACACACTCAAATGGCGCAACACAAGAAATTGTTTTTTAACCAATACATTGTATCTTATCACTTCAATTAAAAAACGATAGCATCTTGCATGCAGTATCACTTATATTAGCTTCATAAAATCATATGCATCATTCAAAACTCAAATGATCAAAGTATTATTTGGGCAAGACTTGGAACCTGGGAATGTATTGGTAACAACATTAAGCTTAATGGAGTTTAAAGAACTCAACAAATTAATCATAAAACATAAAGCACGTTGTGCATACCCACCACAAAAAGTAGTGTTTCAACTTATAGTAGTTCAGAAGTAAACAACTGGTTGATATACATACAATCCATAGACAAAAAAATATTTGAGGTGCTGAAATGCACAAACATAACCCAAACATAGCGGCAATATGATACAAATAACTAGTATAATTTTACTTTATTTTTTTAAAAAAGAGCAAAATCGAAGCACATCCATGAAAATCAAAAGTAGCAGCTGAAATGGGGTTTATCTGTGAGTTAATTCACTAATTTAGGGCTTATGAGAAAAATAGTAGCAAAAAAAATTACTTGCTAATTTTGAGTTTATCAGTAAGTAAACTCACTGATTTGGGGTTTATTAGGCAAAATAGTAGCAAAAATAGAAATTGAACACCCTGATTTGAGGTTTATCAGTGAGTTAATCGTTGGGTGTATTTTTTAGTTACCATGAAAGACTAAGTACATTTTGATGGAACCCAATTAATTGGAGGAGTGAAAGTGAGATAAGTATTTAACCAACGCCTGATAAATATCTTAACAGCGATGGGTAGGATATGCAAGCTCAATGAGCATGATTTTTGAAGATATTTGCAAAGATATACCCCTTGATATGATATGAAGGATATGATATGTCCAAGAGGGCCCCAATATGCCTTTAGAGCCATATTCGTCAGTC